CACTGGATTTCTCTCCAGAACACACCTTAAGCCAACAGTTTAAGACACCGAAAACAACATGATTCTATCAAGTTCAAAAGCATGCCAAATGAGACAACACAATGTTTAGCATACAACACACGTGGTGAAACTTTATAGAAAAGCAAGAGTGCTAAAAAGCAAAACCGATGAGCTGGGGGTGGGGTGGGCCAGGATCAGGGAGGGGCGCTCCAAACCCACCGGTAACATTCTTCTTTGTAAACTGAGCGATGGGCACATGGTTTCCTTGTATCTCTAGTCTTTATACTGTACATACTCCTTTTTATCTACTCCATATTTAACAGAAACAACTTACAAAATTAAACAATGTTCTTTCTGACTTTAAACAATGTTTGGAAGCATGAACTCAGGCATCTGAGTTACAGTAAACCAGGAAAGTCCCTGACAGGGCCCCTGAGTCCCGAGACTACTGAAATGAGAGGTGCTTCACCCACCAGGCTGCGGAGCCACTGGAGACACAGCTTCCCGCTGGGCGGCAGTGCCTCCCATTGGGGACAGGAAAGTGGCTGCTTAGATGAATAGTTCCAGCATAGGAAGTGGTGTGGGAGGGGTGGGGCCAACAGGTTCTACTGCCAGAGCTCTTAAGAAGCTTGGCATTTTCTTTTTTCTTTTTTTTTTTTTTTCAGTTTTACTGAGAAATAACTGACATACATCACTGTGTAAGTTTAAGGTGTACAGCAGATGGTTTGAATTTCCATGTGTTGTGAAATGATGACCGCAATAGGTTTGGCTAACATTCATCTTCTCACAGAGACACAAGAAAGGAAAGGAAAACAATTTTTTCCTTGTGATGAGGACTCGAAGGATTTACTCTCTCAACCCCCTAGATGTCACAGAACAGTGTCAGCTGTAGTCGGCAAGTTGTCCAGCAGGTTTCTGATATTACTATTAACCCACCACACCCGCTTTCCAGCCAACCCCGTCCTCAGCTGGAACCGCCTCCTGTGAGCCTCTGCCTGCCGCTGTGTAGACAGGAGTGAGCAACTCTCAACTCTAACCAGGCCCTCTGCTTCGTCTAATTCCCATCAAACAGGCTTGACTCCCCGAGCCCAAGCCCTGGTTTCCTGCAGAATCTGCAGCGAGGACATAACGGAGGTCTACTTTAACTGGCCTTTGGGCGGTCAAGCTACTGCTAGCGTGAGGACCTCTGCAAGGGCCAGGTCCCCATGCTGACCCTCAACACACACACACACGCACACACACGTCTGCGGCCAATGCAGAAATCCCTCAGGGCTGAAATGGTCACTCTTTGACCTTTACTACTTCAATCATCTAGAAACTGTGGCCAGCAAAAGGAGGAGATAATGGTCTCCAGGACAACATGCTTTGGGCACACAATGTACTTAGTTCTTCGTTTTCTCTCAGGCTGGGTCCCTTCTTTCCGTGGTGCCACCCTGCCGAGACACCGAGTCTGGGTACCTCCTCACCACCCACTCAACCACCACCCTTCGAAGAATTCCAGGAAAGAAGGAGCCAACTGGTCTTTTACGTGACAAACTAGTAAAACCCTGAAGCTCCACCCATAGAGGCTGCCCTCCTACTCACAGGCCTCACGTCCCGCAACCAAGTCAAATCATTTGACTCTTGAAAAATGGTCTTCCCTAGACACACAGATAGACATAGACACACACAAACACACACACACACGGAATAGTTCTGCAGATACTATTAACAGTTATCTGAGAGGGGAACTGGGTCAGGCTCAGAAGACTCCATGGTGCCACTTTTTGTTTTTAAAGATTTATTTATTTACTTTAAAGAGAGATAGTATGAGTGGGAGGGGCAGGAAGGGCCAGAGGGAGAGTGAATGTCAAGCAGACTCTGTCTACTGAGCCTGGAACCTGACACAGAACTCGATCTGACGAGATCATGATCTGAGCTGAAACCAAGAGTCAGATGCTCAACCAACTGCATCCCTCAGGCACCTCTCCATAGTGTTTTTTTTTAAAGATTTTATTTATTTATTCATGAGACACACACACACACACACAGAGAGAGAGAGAGAGAGAGAGAGAGAGAGGCAGAGACATAAGCAGAGGGAGAAGCAGGCTCCCCTCAAGGAGCCCAAGGCAGGACTCGATCCCAGGACCCTGGGATCACATCCTGAGCCAAAGGCAGACAGACACTCAACCACTGAGCCACCCAGGCGCCTCTCCACGGTGCATTTTTTAGAACCTTCTGATTTGTGTACCTTGGGCATATTCCTCTACCATTTTTTTTCTTCCTCTGCACACTTTTTCTTGACCCTTTCAAGGGTCCTCTTCTCCTAACATATAATAACACCAGTTACCAACGATGGAATCAGGGACTCGAGAAAGCATTTTACATGCATTACCTCATCAATAATTCTGGCCAATAAAGTTATATGCGAGGTCATCAGTATCCCCACTTTACAACTGAGAAAACTGAGGCTTGGAGAGGCCAAGTATTTTGCCCAAAGGCACACATCTAGTAAGTATAAGAATAGCATGAGCCTAGGTATGTCTAATTTATAAATTCACATTTTTCTTTTTTGTTTTTTTAGATTTTTACTTATTTGAGAAAGAGAGAGAATGACACAGAGAGGGGCAGAGAAAGAAGCAAAGGGGCTTGACCCCAGGATCATGACCAGAGCCAAAGGCAGACACTTAACTGACTGAGCCACCCAGGTGCCCCAAAGTTCATGTTTCTAACCAGTACTCTCTACTGAAGGGTTCTAGATGTGGACGATCTGGTCCCAGGAGATGTTTGGCAATGTCTGGAGACATACCCCACTACCACAGCTGGAGGTGGGTGGGTATTACAGTCATCTATGGGTGGAAGCCAGGGATGCCATCACCATCCTAAAGTACACAGCTCAGCCCAAGACAAAGGTTTATGCAGCCCCAAATGTCAAGAACATCCCGGCTGAGAAACCATGCTCTACTGGAAAAAGACAGAAAGACAGAGAAACTACCTTCTGACCTAAACTCTCATAGTTTAGGTCTTGGAGTTCACCATGGTTACATCCATACACCGCACAGATACCAAATAAACCATCAGGTTCTCCTCTCCTCAAACAATAGCACACCAACCCCATGTCACACTGGAGTTCTGACCAGCCTAACTGCCAGTTCCTCTTCAGCTAATCAAGGCTGACCATCTGTCCATCCAACAACAGTCACTGAGCACCGGCTATGTGCCAGGAAATGAGCTATGCAGTGGGACTACCAGGAGAAACGATCCCCTGTCCCTGCCTGCAAGATGCTGGTGGGCTAACAGGGAGACATTAGAAACCTACGATTATAATGTGAGATATGAATTGCATCAAGAGATCAGTGCAGGATGCTAAGAAATCAACGGAGGAGGAGCTCCAAACTTAGCTGGGGTGGGTGGCTGGGCAGGACCGGAGAAGGCTTCCCAGAAGCATCTGAGCTTGCAGGAATTAAACAGGCAGAGGCAATCCTTTTCTTCCCAAAGGACCCCTCACCAGACCTTTCAGAGTATGGTCTCTGAGAATCCACAGATGGACACCTTTAAATAGAGAGCTTGGTAGAACTCAGAGTAGTCGCTGATCCCCTCTGCACAATCTGGATAATTCCTGCCTTGAGGGAGGATGCACCCCAGCATCACTATGGATTCGGGTCTGCTTTACTGCAATCCTCACTGGCTCTCTGGCTTCGAAGCACCCCTCACCTCACAGCAGGAGGTAATTCACCTTTATGTGGCCAATCCTGTGATGTACACGCTTGAGCTCTCATAATTCTCTAAACAATTCTGTGAGCTTGATACTATTATTCCTCTTTGACAGATGAGGAAACGGGAGGCACAGTGGTAAAGCACCTGGCCCTCAAGACACAGAGCCACCAAGCAGGGAAGCAGGGATGCAAAACCAACACCAGGGTCATTGCTGCCTCTATCTGAGGAGACCTCTACAGATGTAAATCCAAACATGCCGTTCACTCTTAATCTCCCCCACTTCAGCAGAGCCTTCCAAAATCAGTCATCCTTCTGCCGCGCGCCTCCCCCGTGGTGCTCCTTGCATTGTATCGTGATCATCCACATGGCTAAAAGCTCCTTGCTCCCAGGATCCAGTCTTACATCCCCAGCATCTAGCGCAGTGTCATAGGTGCTGGGCACAGAAAATGCTGAATGCATAAATAAGCCTGGACTCTCCGGGCGCAAGCAACATCAACCTACTCAAAGCCAGAGCAGCCTGCCGTGGGGAGACAGAGGCATGGGAAGAATGTCCAGCCCTCCTGCACCAATGCAGTGGGCTTCCCCTCAGGCTGAGCCCAAGCCCCAGAGACAGCAATCCAGTCACCCAAGGGACGGAGCAGGCTCTCTCAGCCAGCTTTCCCTCCAGCACTGGAACAGTCATGATTCGTTCTTTGGTTTGTATACCAGATGCTTATGTTTGGGGACATGTTGTACAAAAATATGTATCTTTAAACATTAGACCCTTAAAAGGAATGAACATGTGCTCCCCACTCTGTCTTTCCCCTTCTGCCAGCTGGAGTACATACACAATGGCAGGAGCTGCAGCAGCCAGCTTCGACCGTGAGATGGAAGCCTGGTTCTGAGCAAGGAGAGCCACACGGTCACTAGAACCCTGTCCCCAGATACTTCATGGAACAGAGCAAGATGACCTACCAGTTCTTGGACTGCCTACTTCCAGGTTTTTAAGAGGAGAGGAATATACTTTGAGTTTGTTTCAGCCATTGTACTTTAGGATTGCTTTGCTAGCACATGTTAGGTTGTGTGTGATTAAAACAAAGTTGTGAGCATTTGCCCAGTGACTAACATAGTGTGGTCTCTGTCGGTAAACCAAACATAATGACAGCCACAATTTCCCAATCAAACTCAGATGTAGTCATTACTTTATAACTTGAAAGAAAAAAAAAAAACTATCTTGAAAGGGTGATCTGAGTCATGCTGAGCCTAGCGAAGGACAAACAAACTGACCTCCTGGTCTGTTTCATCCTTGAGCATTACAGACATACCTCAGATTTCCAAGTAGCCCAGGCTACTCTTTTCTGACAGTTTGTCTGCGTAAACTCCAGCTTGGCTCTCCTCCTCCAGCTCATTACCTGAATCAAAGACACCCAAGTGGAAAATCTGATGAGAACCCGAAAGGCACCAGCTCCCTAAGAGCTGCCCTTTTACGCGTCCCAGAAACACAGGTAAATCCAGAGCCCTGAGCACGGAGCCTGGCACAATGGAGACGCTCGGTACAAGTTTCTTTGGATCATCCTCGGCCGGCTGCACGTCAGACACTGTGCCAGACGCCTGGGACACAAAGATGAGTAACCCCGCTCCCACTCCCTACACTTGGAAATTCCTGCTTACCAAAAAGACATATAACACAATGTTGTAAAGCAAGAGCGACAAGACTGTGCCCGGGGTTCCTGCGACGCTACAGCGTTAGCCTTCCCCAGGGATGTCTCAAATGCTCTTGCTTCTCGTTTCACACCCTTGCCCTCGGTGAGCACACCCCCTCCCACAATCTGAGGGACTTTTTAGCAGATGACAACTGCTAGCTCACCACTGGACAGCTCCACTCGAGTGTTTTACAGGCACCTGCTTTCAACGTGTTCGAAACTAAATGCGCCTTCCCTCCTCACACCTGCTCCCCATCCTGCTCCCGATCACACTGAGTGCTATCGCCACCTGCCCATCAAGACTAGGAGGTCAGTTCTGACCTCTCTCTGACCTCTAACTTCCTCATCTAACTCATCGCCAGGTTCCTCAATGCTCCGAAACCTCCCTCTCCACCGTCTCCCTCTAACCGGACTGGAGGCCACGCATCCTTTGTAGATGGGATTACTCTAGCGGCCTGTTAATTGGCCTCCAGGCCCGTTCCCTTTAATGCATCCTTCACGTCCACGAATCTGGTTCTCAGATGGCTTCCCATTAACCTAAAACTGAAAACTCCTTAACTAGGTTCACACGGCCCCGGAGGACCAGGCCGCAGCCAGCGTCTTTCGTCTTACCTTTCAGCTCCGTCCTCCAGGCACAGACCTTAACTATCACACTAGCTCCTAAGCTTTGTCACAAGCTCCCATCTTCAGCCGAGGATACAACGCTTTTCTCGCCTGCACTCCCCTAAGAGCCCTTTAGGGATCTCCACGCTCTGCACCTATTGCCTTATTTGCTCTTCCTGACAACCCCAGGGAGCAGCCTGTAGGATCGTCCCTGCTTTAAGGAGGGGGAAACTGAGGCAGAGGCGAGAGCCTCCCGAGCTTCGTCCAGGACGCAGCTGGCGAGCACAGGGCCGCCTGGCTCCACCGGTCATACTTTGAACCACAGCACCGCGAGCGCTTGCTCGATCCTCACAACCTATCGGGTGCCGAGCCACCGTCTGCGGAAGGAATGAATGAATGAAGTCACCTTGTAGGGGGCAGCACCTCCCGGTCCCGCGGCCCCGGCCCTGCGGCCGCACAGCCGCCCCCGCCGCGGCGCGGGGTGCAGGGGCGCTGACAGCCGGGCGGCGGGGGCGTCACCGAGCCGGGGGCCGACCCGCGCTCCCCCGCAGGAACTGCCGGCCCGCTCGCCCCCCGCCTCCCCCAGCTGCCCCGCGGGGTCCCCGCCGTCCCCTCCCCTCCCCCACACAACCGTCCCCGGCCTCCCGCCGCGCCCCATCCCTCGCCGCCTCCGCCCGGCTCCCGGGACTTGCCCAGCCCCGGGCGCTTGCTGACCCTCACCTGCCATGTCCCGGACCCCACCGTAGAGGGAGGTGCATCACGGCCGCGAGAGGGCCGGGGACGGCACTTCAGAGCAGACAAAGGGCGCCGCCATGTCAGAGTCGGGCGGAACCGACCTCGCCGGCTTCCCGGCTGCAACTTCCGGCGCATGCGCAGCGCCCGCGCTGGCCGGGAACCGCGGCCCGGCGCGTGCGCAGCGCCCGCGCTGCCCGAGAACCGCGGCCCCGCGCATGCGCCTCCGCATCCCGAAGTTCTCTAGTACGGCACTTGGGCGCCCCGAATCGTCCTCGTCGTAACCCTTGCCTGGTTTTCGGTTCCAACCATTACAGTCACAGCTTCCCCGCGTTCAGCGCTTCCTGTGCGCCCGGCGCTGGGCTGAGCACCTCTCGTGCACGAGCTCATTAAATCTTCTCGCTAAGCGGAGGAGAGTCTTTTCTCCCCTTTGGAAGAAGGCAAAGGAGGCTCAGGAAGAGTCAATGAACCGCCCATTGTCACGTCTTCCAGGCGGAGGAGCACAGGACCTGGTTGCACCTCCGCGGCTGCAGATCCCCGCGTGTCTTAATGCCCTTCCGAGCCGACCATTGCCCCATTTGCTATTTAGGCAGATCCAGGATTAGCCTGGGTGTGAACGAGGATGCTGGAAGCAAAAGTGTCTGCAGACTCGAGCAGTCCCTTGTGGCCTCTGCCAACTCTTCAGCACCTCCGCGCCCCTGACTTCCCTACGTCCTCACAGGACGCGGGCTTCCTCTTTTCTTCACCTCTGATTCTGTTTATATCCCATGAGATTTTTTTTTTTAAGATTTTATTTATCTGGGACACCTGGGTGGTTCTGCGGTTGGGCGTCTCCAGGGTGTGATCCTGGAGTCCTAGGATCGAGTCCCGCATTGGGCTCCCTGTCTGGAGGCTGCTTCGCCCTCTGCCTGTGTCTCTGCCTGTGTGTGTGTGTGTGTGTGTGTGTGTGTGTGATGAATGAATAAATAAAATCTTTTTTAAAAAATTTTAAGATTTTATTTATCTATTAGAGCAAGCGGGGGGGGGCGGGGGGATAGGGAGGGGCAAAGAGAGAGGGAAAAGCAGGCTCCCGCTGAGTAGGGAGCTCAATGCTCAATGGATTCCAGCTGGATTCCAGGACCTAGGGATCATGACCTGATCTCCAACCTGGGACCCAAGGATCATGACCTGAGCTCCATCCTGGGGCCCTGGGATCAACACCTGAGCCCAAGGCAGACACTTAACTGAGTCAGCCACTGAGGCACCCCCGTTTCCCATGAGTTTTAACAACAGTCTTGCCACCACCCTAAACTTCTTTGTTCCCTCGTCCTCTTGTCATATGGATTTGGTGAGCTTTCCAACCCTAGGTAACTCCAACTTTCCTCTTCTTTTTTCTTGTATCCAAACAACCATGCACAGCTGGACAAAGTACCCCAAAGGATAGACTGCTCCCTACAAATTCATGATCACTAGCCAGAAGAGGAACTTCAACAAATGCTGGTCTGGCCAAGTCACTACTCCTCCTTCACAATCACTTGGGAAACTAAAAAGCTTACCAGTAGTTGACTTCATTCTGTCTTTTACAGGAAAATAAAAGCAAGTCTGATAGGACCTTGTCCTCCCAATACAAAGGAGACAAATCTACCTGTGTCCATCCGTGTTGGATGTAGTTGGCTGGGACTCATTACCATTCCTTCCAAATTCTAGAAAGTTAAAATTCTATTTCCCAGATTCAGTTGCAGTTAGAATTCTAGACACACAGATGGATTCTGCTAGTGGGAAAGATTGGATGGAAGTGAGGCAATAGCCATTGTCCTGGTGATGTTAGGTGATTGCTGCTGGCAAGCGAGGTCATCCAGATGTGAGGTTTTGCAGCAGTGCACGGTGGCTAGTCTCCAGCTTCATGAGTGTTCTGAAGCATCTGTGAAATGGTGACAGCCAAACTCAGCATTCTAGTGCCTGGGAACCAGCTTCTAGTCCCAAATCTAGACCCATGGGTTCCTGCTGGTGATATGTTGAATGCAATGATCTCAGTGGTGGTGGCTCCTTGATTCCTCATCTTTCTGATTATGTCAGAGTAGCCTCTGGTTGGTGAGTTCTATGGTGTTCTGGGAGCCATTACCAGAGGACCAGTCTGGAGACCCTTCTTTCAGCCCCTCCAATAATGTTATAGACGCTTAATTTTCTGTATTAAACCTCTTTCTGGGGGTGGCCCAGGTGGCTTAGCGGTTTAGCACTGCCCTCAGCCCTGGGCGTGATCCTGGAGACCTGGGATCGAGTCCCCTGTCGGGCTCCCTGCTTGGAGCCTGCTTCTCCCTCTGCCTGTGTCTCTGCCCCCCCCCCCTGTCTCTGTATGTTTCTCATTAATAAATAAATAAAAACTTAAAAATAAATAAGTAAATAAACAAACCTCCTTCTGCTTAAAAGAAGTTTGGAGACAACATGAGGGATCCTTGTAGGATGGACATGTTCCGCACCTTGACCGTATCGATGTATACATCCTGGTTGGGATACGGTGGTACTATAGTTTTGCAAGATGTTAGCATGGCGAAAACTGGGTAAAGAAAGTTGGCAGTGGAATTGCTCTGTATCATTTCTTACAATTGCATGTGAACTGGAGCGCATAGGTGGTTCAGTCTGGTGAGCATTCGACTCTTGATTTCCGCTTGAGTCACGACCTCAGGGTCATAGGCTCTGCACTCGGCGCAGAATTGGCTTCAGATTCTCTCCCTCTCCCTCTGCCTCCCACCCCCGCTGGCGCTGACTCTCATTTCCTCTAAGGAAAAAAAAACAACACAAAAACAATTGCATGTGAGCCTACTTTTTTTTTTTTAATAAAAAGTTTAAAGAGAAAGCCCAGCAAGGTTTCTATTTCTGCAAGAAAATGAACCCGAGGGGTCAAGGCATTAGATTCAAAGGTGATACAGATCTAGCCTATTTTGCTCAGAGAAAAAAATAGTTACATAAGTTGTCACTTATCACAATAAGTATTGTTGCCTCGGGGAAAGTGCCTAATAAAGACAGGCTTTGATAGATGGGAGTAGTTGCCACAACTGACCATTACGGAGGAATGAGGACGATAAGGACTGTCAGGTAGGCTGGCTATTTATAACTGCACTGAACACTTTCAAAAAAGAAATATTTAGGGTTTAAATTTTCTGCTCAAGAAAGGACCAGAGAAGCAAGGTCCATTCCTGACTACTCTAAAAAATTTATCTCAGGACACCTGGGTGGCTCACTGGTTGAGTGCCTGCCTTCAGCTCAGGGTGTGACCCCAGGATCCTGGATCGAGTCCTGGATGGGGCTCCCTGCAGAGAGCCTGCTTCTCCCTCTGCCTAAGTCTCTGCTTCTCTCTCTCTGTGTCCCTCATGAATAAATAAATAAAATCTAAAAAAAATTTTTTTTTTTATCTCATCTCATGTAGCTACAGAGCTTATGTAGCCAAAATTCCGACCTGATCCTGTGGGTTGCTGAACTGTGATATAATTGCAACAGAAGCTGTAGTCACAGGCTGACCAGGTGCACGGAATGGGAACAAGTGGCACTTAGAAATCAAGACAGGGGTGTTTGGGCGGATGCAGATGACTAAGTTCCCTGACTCTCCAAATCTAAAATTAACTGAAACTCTTGCCATAGATGCAGCCCCCTCCTCCCACTGAATGAGACTGACTCTGCTTTCCCTGGAAAGCACGTAATGACCTTATCTGAGGAAGTTATTTGCAAAGATATGCTGATTCCCCTCAGAGATCGTCATCCTTTATTTGTCTCTAGATCTGAGCCCCAGTCCAGAGTGCCCCAGGGAACAAGCACGTGGTCTGACCTTAGAGGTGATTTACAAAAGAAAGAAAAAGGAAAGAAAAAGCAAGCCTTAACTAATAAATGAGCTGAAACCTAGAGAATATACCTGTAATGTAGACATGTTAAGTCAGGGAGGAAGGAACATAATATTAAGCTTGGCTAAATTTATAAATATAAATGGGCATTGCAGAGACTTTGGGGTTTTCATGTCCCAGCTCAAACAACCGAGAATGGTTCTTTTTTTGTTTGTTTGTTTAAAGATTTATTTATTCATGAGAGACACAGAAAGGCAGAGACATAGGCAGAGGGAGAAGCAGGCTCCCTGCGGAGAGCCCCATGTGGGACTCGATCCTGGATCCTGGGATCAGGCCCTGAGCTGAAGGCAGATGCTCAACCATCTGCTCAACCGCTGAGCCACCCAGGTGTCCCGCTGAGAATGGTTCTAACAGCGCAGTGGGTTGATTGAAAATTTAGACCCAACAGTGGTCCTCATTAACCGAAGCTGAGATGCCAGAAACTCCTTAGAACAAAACAGGAGAATCTACAAATTCAGGCCAGGTGGCTGAGAGCAGGAGCGAAGTGTACTGCTGCTGCTGAAATGAGTGAAGGATCAAGACTTGCCTGGCTTCTCACTCGGGGGTGTTGCTCCCGTCTATTCCTAATAGACTCCCTCCTCCACCCCAGGCTTGTCCCCTCTGGTGCCCTCACCCCTTAGCTGTCCCAGGGACACACAGCCCCCCACCCCCTAACCTCTGAGTCTCCAGCCAAAACCTTATCCACCCTCTACCCTAAAGTCCTCCCGAAGCTCAATTATTAAGTACACGTGAGCCTTCTCCCAGTGAAGAGAATTTCAGTGGTTGGCCCGCTTGTGGCTATAAACTTGACAAAGTTTAGCTGTAGATAAACTGACAAATGTCTGTTTATACAATTTGGGTTTTTATCAGTTTCATTACACACAGGTTGAATGTCATGACTAACATAACAGTATATTATAAATGCAGCGATGTTTTCTCTGCTTGTCCGGAAATGGTTTTCTTAACTCTTCACATGCATCCTTGACCTACACTTTTTAAATTCAAGCCCATTTTGAAAATGTTACAAAGTACTAGATAAAATAGGGGCCCCTGCCTGGCTTAGTCAGTGGAGTGACTCTTGATCTCAGGGTCACGAGTTTGAGCCTGGGTGTAGAGTTTACTTTAAAAAAGAAAAGGAGGGCAGCCCGGGTGGCTCAGCGGTTTGGCGCCTGCCTTTGGCCCGGGGTGTGATCCTGGAATCCCAGGATCGAGTCCCGCATTGGGCTCTCTGCATGGAGTCTGCTTCTCTCTGTGTGTCTCTC